ATCCGGTCAATTTAGCTTTTATTAGTCTGTTTGAGTGAATTAATGTTCCTAGCTTTTGTTAGCTGCTAATTTATTTGCAATCTTATTTTTCTTTTCTTGGTTTTCTGGGTTTTTAGCATTTTAAATTGTCAAACTCGTTATTTTAATTTGATATTCCATTGCTGCTTTTTCATTTCGTTGTTATTTTAATATCTTTCCTGCCTTATTTTCTACTGCAATTTTGTTCACTTAAGTCAATTCTGATTCTTAATTAGCTTCGAACACTTTAAATTATCAAGGTAGTTTAGTTTCAAGATTATAAATTGCATACTATCAATTTCCTGTGGGATCGACCCTTGCTATTGCACACTATTTCTACCGTGACTTGTGCACTTGCGAGGACATTATAACAAAATTGTCCATCAATTTCTTTGTAAGTTTATGGATGTATTCCCTTAATTGTATTTGTATATTTGTAATTTTGTATTGAATAATGCCCTTTAATTAATTATGCATTCATGTTTAATGATGACACAAAATGTGTCTGATTCTGGAATGCTTTTGAATCCTGTTGTGTGTACTGATAGTTCACCATTTTTAGATGGATAATATCAGTATGCCTGGTACTCCTGGTAGTCAACCTCCCAGCTCCTCAATTGATGGACCTTCAGGGGTGGAAGCCCAAACTGTTGAGAATCAACAGAATGAGCAACCTCCTACTGCTGTTCCAGCCAAGAAGAGGAAACATGTTGCTTCCAGATCACCAGTGTGGGATCATTTTGAGGCAATAAAGGACACTAATAATGTGGTTGTAAAAGGCAAATGCATTTATTGTGCCAAAATTTACCACTGTGAGACAAAAAAAAACATGGGACTTCTTCCTTAAGAAATCACATGTTTAGCTGTTTGAAAAATTGTCCATCCAAAGAATTAACTACATGGTAGTTACTGCCCATTTCATTGATTCTGAGTGGAAGCTTCATAAGAAAATCCTTGCATTTGTCCCTGTTACTTCTCACAAAGGTGAATATCTAGCCAAAGCCCTAGAAAATTGTTTGCTTGAGTAGGGGCTTAGAGATGTGTTTTCTGTGACTGTTGATAATGCCTCATCAAATGACACTGCTATGGTTTTTCTGAAGAAAAAAATGCTGTCTTGGGGATCATCTACTGTGAGGACAAAGTATCTTCACATGAGATGTATTGCCCATATCTTAAACCTAGTAGTTCAAGATGGTCTTAAGGATTGTGATAGTTCAGTTAAGAAGGTTAGGGAGGTGGTTAGATATGTTAGAAACTCTCCTACTAGACTCAAGAAGTTCAGGGATTTGGCTGATTGGTTGAGTATTGAACAAAGGTCTTCTTTGTGTTTAGATGTTCCAACCAGATGGAACTCTACCTATTTAATGTTGCAGTCTGCATTAACTTACCAAAAAGTGTTTGAATCTTTGGAGTCTGATTGCTCTTTTAAGTCTGATTTGGGTAATTCAATTCCTGATTTTATAGACTGGGAATCTGTTGGCAGTCTGGTTCAGTTACTGAAGTGTTTTTATGACATGACCATTAGAATTTCTGGTTCTTTATATGTCACCTCAAACACTTTCTTTACTGAGATTTCTGATCTGTACTGCCTATTGAAAGGCATGGTGGAAGTTGGTGGGCCAGTTGGTGTGATGGGGAAAAATATGAAGGCAAAATTTGAGAAGTATTGGGGTGATGTGGAAAAAATGAATCTAATGATATTTTTTGCAAACATTCTAGACCCTAGAGACAAGTTAGAGTATATGCCTACTCAGTTTAATCATATGTATGGTGAGGAAAAAGGGTCAAACATTCTATGACAAAGTAGTTGCTGGTCTTACTGAGTTATTTGATGATTATTCTACATCTGCCTCTTCTTCTGTCCCTTCTGTGCCTGTCCCTTCTGTGCATGTGTCTGTACAGCCTACATCTGCCTCTTCTGTTTCTGTTGGGAAGCCACAACATTTTCTGAAGTCCCAAATTAAAAAGCAAAGATTGGAGTCTGGGGGTAAGAAACAAACTGAGTTGGATATGTACTTGAGTGAGGGAATAGTTGAAGAGGAAGAATCTTTTGATATACTTGGATGGTGGAAGATCAACTCTGCTAGGTTTCCAGTTCTGTCTAAGCTTGCTAGGGATGTCCTAGCCATTCCAATCTCCACTGTAGCCTCAGAATTTGCCTTCAGTACTTCTGGAAGAGTATTGGATCCTTTTAGGAGTTCTTTAACTCCAAAAATTGTGGAAGCATTGGTGTGTACACAAGATTGGCTTAGAAAGCAAAATACTCCTTTATGTATTGAGGAGAATCTGGAAGAGTTGGAGAGGTTTGAAAAAGGTATGACTTTTTAGTTTGAACATTATAATCCTTTATACTTATATTTTAAATTGCTTAAATTGTTAATACTTTTCTTGTTTATTTTGCAGAGTTAAGTGGTGATGGTGGAAGTGGGAGGTTTCTTGGTTCTACACTTGCTACAATTCCTGTAATGTTATTATTTACATTACTTGATTTTATTGCAATCTTTTACAGTATTTGACTGTTTAACTAAATTGCAATCTAATCTCACTTGCTATTTTTTGAGCCCACTGGACATCTGTAAGTCTCAAACTCTGTAACTCTGTAAGTATGAAGGCCTGGTAACTTGTACTAAGTTGCTGCCTCATGTACCTTGGGCATTTGGTAATGTATGGACTATTTTATTCTGTCTGTTCACTTTAAGTTGGCAAGTTTGGCAATGATGAAGCTTCCACCTTCAATCTGAAAAGGAAAGGATTAAGTTGATCAGTTGCTCTATACTTAAGGTATATTGAAACAATATGCCATTAATCCAAATGATATGTAAAATATGCTTACTGAGCCAATATTTATATAATCCCTTCTCTGTTTTTCATTTTCTAATGCTTGCTCAGTTGCTTTACTTGTTTACTTGCTTGTGTACTAATTATCTACACTAACTTGCCACAATTCACAGGAAGAAGAATAACTACTCTAATTGTCTGAATTCTAAAAGTCTAGGAGTTGCTGAATGCTGAGTTGCTGATTTTGGGTGAATTTGTTTTTGTTGTGCTTCGGTTTAAAGTTTAAACAGTTATGTAAATTTGTATGTAGTAAGTAGTATACAAGCTAGTATGTACTTCTGTAGTTTTTTTGGAGTCTTAGTCTCATAGACTCTTAGCCACTTAAGAGTTAAGACTCTTAATGTTAGTTAATAGACTACTTAGTAATACTAATTACTAACTTAGTAACTTAGTATTACTGGTATTAGTCTATTACACTATCATTCTATTAATTATTTACTTATTTATTCAGTATTATTCAGTATTTCAGACTTTCAGTTACTTAATTATTTTGCTTTTGATTTTAATTTATGAATTTTTGATTTGATTTCAACAATTGTTAATATCCGAAATAATTTCGAATATCCGACCGACCCGACCAAAACCGAACTAGGATATAACCGACCGGATAAGTCAACATTTTTAAACGGATAGGGTAGTCAAAATACAAAACTGAAATCCGATCGAATGCACCTATCTCTCACCTGATCCGTCCGAACCGTCCGAATGCACACTCCTAGTTATGTATTTATTATTATGACAATATGTTAAACTCGTTGTTGTTGTAATCAATAACAAAGGTTGTTCACAACCTGTTGCCCTTTAACATGTTTTGTTTTTAACCATAATATGCAACAACAACAATTTATCCAAACACCATAAATACAAAAGCAGAAAATGTCATAATACAAATAAGTAAAGTATTTCCAGGACTATGTGGTCTAATGGTATCCGGGTTGGACTTCCATTTGAAAGGTTGTAAGTTCGAGCCTCAGTGGAGGCGTTATTGGCTCTTTGTGTTTCAGTAGGTTGAGAAAGTATATGAACAGATACTACAATGTAATAGAGCTAGTAGCATTCAAAAAAAAAAAGTATTTCAAAATACACAACAATTGACATGATCATCTACTTCAAAATACACTCAACAATTCATTGGTGTTTCACCTGTGAAGTGAGGTGGCAACAAGGAATTGAAGCAACACTTGAGTTGATATCCGAGAAGCTCATTAAGTAAATGGGAAATACCAAAAGGTACAAGTTACCAAACCAAAAGCTCATATGTGTATGTGTCTTGTGTTGTGTTTTGTGTTATGAAATTATGTACTCTGCAAATATGAATTCTGTAACTCGTCGTTTTAATCTAGGGTTCACAATGCTAATGTGAACTCTGGTCCATGATATAAATGCGATTTAGTGTATAATTTGAAGAATTAATTTCACTTTTGGTCCCACGACTTTTGATGTTCTATCACTTTTGGTGCACAACTTTAAAATTTTTTAATTTTGGTGCCTAACTTTGTTATTTTTATCAATTTTGGTCCTTTCGGCCAAATTGACTGTGAAATGTTGTTGGATTTTATATTGTTAGGGGTAAAATCTTCATCCCAAGGAAACATCTTCAATATCTAAACAAGATCACCGTAAAATCATATCTATAGGTGTTTGATGATGAGAATAATGGGGAAGATGGGCAGAAACCAGACAGGTCTATGGGATTTATAGTTTCGACCATTGGCAAACTCTTCTTTTCCTCTTAATATGATTTTTCTTTTGTTTAAATATTGAAGATCTTTCCATGGGATGACGATTTTGCCCCTAAAATATAAAATCTGGAAATATTTTACCGTCAATTTGGCTAGAAGGACCTAAACTGATAAAAATAACAAAGTTAGGCACCAAAATTGAAAAAATTCAAAGTTGTGCACCAAAAGTGATAAGAACTCAAAAGTCGTGGGACCAAAAGTGAAATTAATTCTAATTTGAATAAGCTAATAAAACAAGCATTACCACACCCAAAACGCCAAACTAGAGAAACTGATGCTGTACTGACACTGAAGTAATATAAAACAGAATACTATATGCGTTTTGCAAAAACAAAAAGCCAAGAATATATATATATATATATATATATATATATATATATATATATATATATATATATATATATATAGCAAAAGGAAATGAATATTTCAGCACAAGGCATATACTTACACAATCAAGAAAACAAACAAACAAACAAAAAAGACTTGGAAACCACCATGGTGCTCTGTAGGTCCAGATAGCATTGACAGTAATGGAGATAATACCACTGGACTTTAGAATGAACCAAGAAAATTGCAAACTATTGCCATGGAGAGAAGCCATCTTCAACAGCAGAAAGTCATACTTAATATAACCATCTACATATTAATGAAACCGGAAACTGATCAAGGCTGGCATCTTCAAAATTTGCCAGTCTTCAAAAATGCGTATGAACGCTGTCAGCTGTAGACATCAGTGTGGATGCAATGTTATATTGGTTGGTATTTTGTGACATTGCCTCTCTGGTCTTCTTGAAAGCAAGCCAAAATCCATTTTAACTCTTCTTCACTAAATAACGGGTAACTCTTCTTTGCATTAGTGTCCATTCTGACATGGGAGCGGGGGGAATTAATGATGCAGACTTCAATTTTTACTTCACAAATCACCCTCAGGTTTTCAGCGGTTAACGCAATAAGATATTGACTTGAGTAGTGAAGGGAATAAAATTAGGATGAAGTCTCTCCTAGGAACAGCATGAGCAACACAAGAAGCATGAAAACCATCTTTTGGGTGCAGCCACCTTTTGCTCAGCTTGAGGTGTCTCCAACGATTCTCTCTCCTGCTGGGGCAATGGCGATGGCGATGGCAATGGCTGAGGCTGCTTCTTTTCTGGCCTTGACTTTGTTGAAGGCGGTTTATCTACATCGCCTGTCAATCTTTATTCATTCAAACTGGTTTAGCCACACTTATACTCAGATGCTATTCAGAAAAGAACAGAGAGCACTTGCATATTGTGAAAAATATTATGTTGTATATAATGTGGACACATCCTACATTGCCACAACTGCGGGGATTTGTGGGGAGAAGGCAATTAGGTATATCATTCCTTACAACAAGATGAGATGGAAATCTACTTACATTGGGAATGCAAAGGATTTTCCACTGGTGGTACTTGCATGAGATAAACGACAAGGACGCACCTCAACTTTACATTTTCCCCCATGATTTTGATCTTTACTGTCCCTTAAGAACTCTCTCATAGATGTTTCTGCTCCATCAAACCCACCGTTCCCCAAATTGCTAGATGATGCTACGGGAGAGAGATCATGCATGCGGCTCTCAGAAGATCCTCCAAGCTCTTCAGAGTTCCAAAGGAATTGGTCTCTAGAAAAACTCATATTATCCAAATAGATACTGAACAATGATTCATTGGAGGCTACACTCCATTCCGTTTCTTTTCCAGACTCTTGTTTAGCGAACACAGAAGGCGGTATCCTGCATGATTCTTTTGTAGGACGCTCCATTACTTGGGTCGATGGTGATTCATTGGTTAAGTTGCTGGAAATCGAGCTAGATGAATTAGCAGCATCACTAGAAACTGCTTCTGGAGTGGATTTATCATTCTCAGTTGTCGATGACTTCTCACCATTAGAAATGCCGTTCTGAGGCTCCATAGCTATAGCTGCTGATTGACTTGATACATTTTGTGAAGGTCCCATACCACATTAACTTACCGGCACCTCTTACATAACATAGAACAGATGAGCCTGAGTATGAGTCTTCAATCAAACTCTGCAATTGTAAATTTTAAGGCTTTGAAATTTCAGCTCTCAAATTTGTGTTATTCATCATGGAGAATATTCCTTTGACCGTCTTAATCTAGGAGTTTTCTATTATATTCACTTCATTTTTATTCTGCGAACCAAACGTAAACGAAAAAGGGAAAGAAAACTCAGTCTAACTCTCCCAGATTGTTAACAGTCACAATGTGTACAATTGAAACCAGCTTGCATATTCTTCATTCTATTATAATGCCCAGATATACCTTGGAAATTGGGATATGAAAAGATGCAGCAAAACCCAGCAACAATTACCATAAATCACAAACCTTTATAATTTGAACAGGTAATAGACAGGACTGGTTACAATGCTAGCTTATCACTAACATGCATTCCCAATGTGGCATCTTAAAATTTATAGCTTCTATTATACCTTTCTTACTAAATTTGAAGTACATGGCCCTCTTTGGTACTCCGTAACATACTTAGCTTATCAGTTAATTTTGGCTTATTTGACCACTATTAGCTGTTTGACTTGGTTAAACAATCAATATGAGTGTTTGATTAATTAGCTTTTTGTAACAGCTTATTACTCCAAAATGTTAAAATTCAAAAAACTGCTCAAAGCAGTTTTTTTCGTTCAAATTTTGAAAAAGTCATTTTGCATGTAATCAACTATCAGCTAATAACTAATTTACCAAACATTTTTCTATAATTAGCTAATGCTATCAACTAGTCAAACACACTAACCTAATTAGCTAATAGCTATCAGCTATTTACCAAACACCTCTATATGTTTTTCAGTCAAGTACTTCAAAAATTTCTAAACATGAACATGTTAAAAGAACAATGGTGAGTACAAGATAAAAATATCATAAGCGAAGTTACTTGGAGTTAAACTTGGTTACTACACCAAACCCAATCATCATCAACCTTCAAGATGTGTACAAATGCTTTACTTTTCTGCCTCCCATCATCAACTGCTTGAAATCACTATTAAAATTTACTTTTAAAAAAAAAAAAAAAAAAAAAAAAGTATAATATAACTTGCTTGCTTCATAGGACAAAAAATTCCCAATGCACCTATACATGATTATGGAGAAATATCCATACCTCAATATCATCTAAAAGGAAACCACAAAAATAGAAAAAGAAATGAAATTAAAACTTGAAGAATCCCGCTTCAATTAACAATTTAACATGAAAATATATGAAAGTATCGTTACTGGGTTTCCCCCTAGTTTTCTTCCTTACCTTGATATTGTTTTAAAAATTGTTTGAACACAATACTACCTACCTAAACGAATTAAGGACATAAAAGCTGAAAATATTGATGAAAGAGCTTCTGTATACCAAGCATTATCACACAGAATAAAATTTTACAAAGAGAGAATTGAAGCGAAGAATACCGGGCTTTTGGCCACCGGAAGCCGGCCTGGCCGGAAAACCAGCTGATAAGCAACCCCCTGTTGGGCAGGCGAATCAGCTGCAGACCGCTCCAAGCCGCCCTCGCATTTCGTCGACGCTTTCCGAAGCTCCACGGAATATGGTCGATGAAATGCCAGAGCGGTATGACGGACGTCCAGTCATCCACTATTCCAAAAGAAAAAAAAAATGTAAACATTTTTACACAAAACTGAGCGGCCCTGTTGAGAGACCACCGAAATACTCGCTGAATTCTCTGGTTTTCAACAGATAAACTCGTGCCTTTTATTCTCATTATTACAAATTTTATTTTCACTTTCCAATTTGCCTTTTACTAAACTTGCAATAAATTACTACCTCCGTCTCATTTTGGGACAAGATTAACTAGATTGTTATTGGGGTTGGAAATTCAACATTTTGGGACAAGATTAACCAGACTCGATTTGATTAAATTTATTTTAAAATTAATTTTTTATAATATTAAGCTTAGTACTAGTACACAAAATTTATAAGACTGATAAAATATGACAGATAGAGTAAATAAGTAAATAATACTAAAGAAAATAAACAAAGAAGAAAGGGTTGATTTGACCAATGAATAATAAATAAGACTGATAAAATATGACAGATAGAGTAATAATAAGGGTCCGATTGGTTCGCTGGAAAATATTTGAAGGGAAATGGAATTGAAATTTCATGGAAAATAAACTCCAAGAAAATAGATTTCATTGTTTGGTTGGTGGAAAAGAAATTACTAGGAATATGAATTTCATTGTTTGGTTGGATTTGGAATGGTACGGAATATTGAGTATAATAATAAATATAACTCTACACAACAATAATAATAAGAGTAATTAATAAAGTAGGGTGATTGGTGAAGGTAAAATTGTAATACTAATTTTTCATGGAAAACTTTTTCCATGGAAAACAAAATACATAGGATGAGTTATGAATTGGTTTTCCTTAGTCTTAAAAAAAAAAAATTCAAATGGAAAATATTTTCCATCCAACCAAACAACATAAAACATCATTTTCATTCACTTTAGGAAAACATTTTCCATGGAGAATGTTTTCCATCTAACCAAACACCCCCTAAGTTTGATATTTATTGTTGCTATTTTTAAAAGGTTTAATCCCCAACCTCGATTTGACAGAGCATCTGATTGCAATAATTTAATATTAAGTTTTATATTTATTATTGTTGTTTCTAAAAGGTTGAATCCTCAACCCCGACCCGATCATTGCAACTCAGCTGAACACAAAGGCGATTGTTATACCGTGGACCATGGTTCAAAAATGGTGCAATTTCTTTAAGTAAAGAAACGACAGCCGTTAAATTTTAACAAATCTCATATTTTTTTGTGTGTTCATAACAAAATGAAACTACAATGTATCTAAAATTACCTAATAACTTGTTTCGCATATTGTGTTTATATTATCAAATGAAATTGTAATTGAATTGAAATTATAATTTTGTTGTGTTGAAATGAAACTGCAATATGTATAAAATGAAACTGAATAATATGTCTCACATATTGAGTGTATATTGTCAAATAGAACGGTAGTTGAATTGACATAATACTTTAGTTTTGTTGAAATGATACTACATTATGTATAAAAATAAACTGAATAACATGTCTCACATATTAAGTGTATATTGTCCAATGAAACCGTAGTTGAATCAGAATTATAATTTAGTGGTGTTGTAATAAGACTACGGTGTGTATAAAATAAAATTAAATAACATGTCTCACTATAATAAGACTATTGTATGTATAATGTCAAATGCAACTGTAGTTGAAACAAAATGAAACTTTAATTGTGCTGAAATGAAACTACAATGTAATTAAAAGAAATGACACCATTTTGGACCATGGTCCATAGTGAAATTTGCCACACAAAGGCTAGACCTTTTGTCGCTGGTGAGACTCGATCCCAGGTCATTATTTCCAAACTTTATCCATATGACCAATTGAGTTGTCCATACAACAAAAAAAATTGTACATCTTCTTAACTATAATATAGTCATATGGTTTGGTGAACAATTATTGTTACAATTATTATTTTGGTGAGCAATTATTGTTACAATTATTATCTCTATCCTTATTATTATTGTATTCTTTAATTTTTTGGATCTTCTATATTATTATTTAGAAAATGGTGATGATGATTAATAGTCATTTATATTTACAAATAATTGTTTGGTCTTTAAATGTCAATTGTATGTTGTTACTGTTGGGAGCATTTAATGGAAAAGGAGATTTGTCCTTATCTATATAGTCCCACATTGGTTTGGCAACCTCTTGTTTCCTCCCTTAAATACTTCAACTCTTTATTAAAGATTTGAAGTGTTATGGATAGAGAACAAGGAGAAATCACGCGCGCCGCCCGCCCGCCTAGCTCGGCACGTCACGACGCGCGGTGGGCTGGGGTCAACATTTTACTCCCGGTATTAATTTTCCACCCTATTTTTGTGGATCCACTCAACACCTTGTCTGCACAACAGATTGTATCTGTGCTCAAGAGTTGGTCTTCCCCCTTTTTTCGTCCATTTTCTGCGGCTGGTAGAGGTGGGCGGTTATATACACAATATATAAACCGTCCTCACTTCTATTCCTAAACACAGAGCTTTTGAGAACATTGCATTTATTCTGCCTTTCGAAACACCTCAGTATCCTGAGCTTTGCGGGTTTAATCCTGCAGTTCTGTGCTACCCGTTGAGAGCATGCAATTCAATCCCTGGTTGTAAATGCTTTTAAGGTAGTGTTTATAACACGACACATAACCTCCCTCACCTTCGCTGTGTTCATATAAGCCTAGCCATATTAACAGTGCTATCACGACATTGCTGCCCAGATTGAGATACAGTGCAGTTTGCACAACAATTAAAAGCATTTACATGTCTAGCTCAGCAATGTCTCAACAATTAAACCCACCTTCTGATACCGCCCCTATTCAGCCACTCACAGGTGGTCTGAACTACAGGAGATGGGCTGCAACAATTGTTATGCTGCTTGAGTCTAAGGACGTGGATTACGTCATCTCTGAAGACCCTACGAAATTCACAAGTGCTGAGAAACACTATTCCACACAGACTGCCTCAGATGCATCCACTGATCCGAAGTCCGCAACGGCATCCAAGGATCCGAAGTCCTCTTCTGCACATACTTCATCAGCTTCTGAGGCAATTCTGGTGAAGTATGAAAAGGACAACAAAACAGCACGTTCCATCATTCTCCAACGCGTTTCAGACCCGTTGTTTGATATGTTCTCGGTGCACAAATCTGCAAAGGTAATTTGGAATTTAATGATTAAAAAATACAGTGCTGATGATGTAGGTAGGCGCAAATACGATGTGACTCGGTGGTTACACTTCAAGATGGTGGATACCAAACCAATAATTGAGCAGGTTCATGACTTTGAGAGCCTGGTTAATGACATGAAAACAGAAGGCGGTATGGTAAATGATGTTGTCTTATGTGATTCTTTAATTGACAAACTACCAGACTCATGGGTGGATTTCAAGAATAAAATGAAACATGACCGACGCAACTACACACTGCAACAACTGATCAATAGCGTGAACATCGAAGAAGAAAATCGGCTAGTTCACAGGTCTATTATTCTTACTGACAATGTTAAAGCTAATGTTGTTGAAACTAACACTGGTTTTGACAAGGCAAAAACTGGTGATAGTAATAGCAGAAATCAAAAGAAAAATTATAAAAACAATAGCAACAACAGTGTCAGAAGTGGGAAAGTTCAGAAAAGGGGAAAGGTAATGGCGAGTGCTACGTTTGTGGGGAACGAGGCCACCGTGCTGCCCAGTGTTATCACCGCAAAGGGGCTACAAGTTAGAATGGCCAGAAGCCAAACAACGAAAAGCCTAAAAACCAAGCTAACCTTCTGGAAAACACAGAGAATTCTGACCTCGTAGCTGCAATGATAATTGAGGCCAACATGGTTGGGCACCCAGACGAGTGGGTTGTGGACACGGGAGTTTCACGACACTTCTGCTACAACAAAGATTTATTCAAAGCATTCGAGCCCATCACTAGAGGAGAACAAGTGTTCATGGGAAATTCCAGCGTCTCCGAGGTAAGTGATAGAGGAAAAATAGACTTACTGGTTTGTTCTGGAAAACGTCTATTGTTGCAAAATGTGTTGTATGTCCCTTCCCTTTGTAGAAACTTAATTTCTGGAGGCCTACTCGTTGTGGGAATTTCCTTGGGAAGGGATATCTGCGTGGAGGTTTTTTTGTGCTAGATGTTAGTGTAGTAAAAAATCCTTCTGATGTAGTTGTTCTTTCAAATGCTTTTGGGCCAAACAATGTTAATAATAATGTTTCCTCTTCTGCTTATATTATTGTTTCAGTAAATATTTGGCATGCTAGATTAGGACATGTTGGAACAAAATGTTTACATAGACTGAAAAACATGAATATGTTGCCAAATGTGTCAAATGATAATTGTGAACAATGTGAAACATGCGTTAAAGCAAAATTTGCCAAAACATCCTTTTCAGCTGTAAAACATCGCACTTCATCTTTGCTTGAATTAATTCACACTGATTTAGCAGATTTTAAGACCACTGAAATTAGAGGTGGCAAATGTTATTATATCACGTTTATTGATGACTTCTCCCGTTTTGTAAAAATTTACTTACTAAGAACAAAAGCTGAAGCCGAACAAAAATTTGTGGTCTTTAAAACTGAAGTAGAAAATCAGTTAGAGAAAATGATCAAAAGACTTCGATCTGATAGGGGAGGAGAATATGAAACAAACTCTCTTAAAAGTCTGTGTCAAGCCTCTGGCATTATTCATGAAGTGACAGCACCTTACACTCCACAACAAAATGGCATAACTGAGAGAAAAAATAGAACTCTCAAAGAAAGGATTAATGCTATGCTAATAAGTTCAGGTGCCCCATACTCATTGTAGGGGGAAGCTGTTCTAACAACAAACCACATCTTAAATAAAGTCCCACATAAAGGGTTCGAAAAAACCCCCTATGAGTTGTGGAAAGGGTATGTTCCTAATTTGAAATACTTTAAAGTGTTGGGTGCTTGGCAAAGGTGGGACTACCGTCCTTCAAAAGGCCCAACTTGGGACCCAAAACCTTAGACGACATATTTGTGGGGTATGCTAAAAACAGTGCTGCATATAGATTTATGTGTTTAAAAAATCGTACTATGTGTGAATCTAGAGATGCTGTTTTCTTCGAACATATATTTCCGTTGAAGGATGCTAATGATCTATGTGCTAATAGACTTCAACAAAACCCACATGTTAATTTTCCTAGCTTCCCAAAGAATTCAGAAGAGCCTAGAAGGAGTAAAAGGCCTAGAATTGAGAAAATCTTTGGTTCTAATTTCATAACTTATGTGACAGAGTAGAAAGATCTAAATGAACTTTGTGATCAGTTCATATATCAACTAGTCTTAGAAGAAGAACCAAGAACCTTTGAAGAAGCTATGCGCTCTATAGACTCTTCTTTATGGAGAGAAGCAATTAAAAGTGATTTAGACTCTATACAGTCAAATCACACATGGGAACTAGTGAATCTACCTAAGGGTTGTAAATCCATAGGCTGTAAATGGATCTTCAAAAGGAAATTGAGGCCAGATGGCTCAATTGAAAGATTCAAAGTCAGATTGGTAGCCAAGGGTTACACACAGAAATTTGGTGAAGACTATTTCTATACGTACTCACCAGTAACAAAAATAGCTACCATTCGTGCTCTCTTTGCATTGGCATCCTTACACAGGATGACAGTACACCAAATGGATGTGAAGACAACTTTTCTCAATGGTGAACTAGAAGAAGAAATCTACATAGAACAACCTCCCGGATGTGTTGAACCGGGTCAAGAAGGAAAGATATGCAGGCTCAAGAGATCTCTATATGGCTTGAAACAAGCCCCTAAGCAGTGGTATGAAAAGTTTCATAAAAACTTATTAGAGCTGGGTTATTCCACTAATCGCTCAGATGCCTGCTTATACACGAAAGAGATAGAGTCTAACATTGTAATTATCTGTCTCTATGTAGATGACATGTTAATCTTCAGGTCTAACATTAGACCCATAAAAGATACCAAAAGAACTCTGTGTAACAAGTTTGATATTAAAGATCTTGGGAAGGCCGATGTAATACTTGGGATAAAAGTTACGAAAACCAAGGGAGGTTATCTTTTATCTCAAAGTTACTACACGGAGAAACTTCTAAAGAAGTTCGAGAGTTATGATGTAACTCGGGCAAAAATTCCTTATGACCCGAGTGTCAAATTAACAAAGAACGTAGAGGCAAGTGTGTCTCAAGAAGAATATTCAAAGATAATAGGGAGTCTAATGTTTTTAATGAACTATACTAGACCAGATCTTGCATTCGCTGTAAACAAACTCAGCCGCTACACATACAACCCGAGTATCCCGCATTGGGATGCACTAAGAAGGGTACTTCGATACCTCAGAGGCACGATAGACTGTGGTCTTAGCTATAAAGGACACCAAGTTGTGCTTGAAGGATATTGCGATGCAAATTGGGTAAATGACAGTGAGGATGTAAGATCAACTAGTGGATATGTGTTCATAATGTGTGGAGCGGCTATATCCTGGAAGTCAACCAAACAATCATGCATTTCCAGATCGACTATGGAAGCAGAGTTCATAGCGCTAGATTTGGCAAGTCAGGAGGACGAGTGGCTAAGAAGCCTTTTGGCAGACGTACCGTTGTGGGGGTACCCAGCATCTGTTGTACATAACTACCCATACATTGTGATTCACAAACTGCCATTTGTGTTGTGCAAAATAGTGTCTACAATGGAATACGGAGACACATAAGAGTCAGACATGAGTCTGTACGACAGTTTGATATTAAATGGGGTGATCACAATGGAGTTTGTGAGATCTGAAAGGAATATTGCAGATCCTTTCACAAAGGGCCTAAATAGAAAGGACATCCTTGATACATCAAGGGAAATGGGTCTAGAACCCAACGAGGTAAGAAATTCGTGATGGAAAACCACGACAGTGGGCAAACAAAGTCACGGAAAGACTTATAAAAGACTGTACGAACAGTGCACACTCTGTAGCCTAATTGGGTGGTCTACGCTGAGGTAGACTTGGTGGAGTTAAAGGTTTACAAAGGTAGACCAAACAGGGAATAATTATAGGTCATGAGTATGACCACACAGAATGTGTGAACGCTGGAGCTATTTAGTGCATTTAAGTTCAAAATTTATCTAATCGGTGAGTTCAAGATCTAATCCACTCCCGGATAGCGAATTACTTAATGTCACTATATGACAGTTCAAGTTTTACACATTGGCATGAAAAATCAGCTTCTACACGTGCTCAGGTACTACTCGATTCAGCCTTGTTCCTTTAAATGTGTGGGGGATTGTTGAGAGCATTTAATGGAAAAGGAGATTTGTCCTTATCTATGTTGTCCCACATTGGTTTCGCAACCTCTTGTTTCCTCCCTTAAATACTTCAACTCTTTATTAAAGGTTTGAAGTGTTATGGAGAAAAATAAGGAGAAACCACGCGTGCACCGCCATTGCCGCCCATCCGGCTCGGCATGTCACGTCACGCGGTGTGGTTAATGTTTTACTCCCAGTATTAATTTTCCACCCTATTTTTGTGGTAGAGGTGGACGGTTATATACACAATATATAAATCGTCCTCACCTCCATTCCTGAACACAGAGCTTTTGAGAACACTGCATTTATTCTGCCTTTCGAAACACCTCAGTATCCTGAGCTTTGCAGGTTTAATCTTGCAGTTCTGTACTACCCGTCGAAATCATGCGATTCAATCCCTAGTCGTAAATGCTTTTAAGGTAGTGTTTATAACACGACACAGAACCTCCCTCACCTTCGCTGTGTTACATCTAGAGTTAGAAATCTCAAAGGTCTAAAAATTTTGATCCGTGGTGACTCTGAAAATTGTAATTCAATTATTATTGTAGTTTACTAAGTTCTTAAAAATTTGTAATATTAAATACTATGTATTAAATTTTTAATATAGTTTAAGATTTGTAGGAATCACACACCTTAAATATCAATTCTTATTTTAATTGTAAATATATTTATGTTCATAATTTTATCATAGCAATTCACACATAATTATTAAATAACAAATTTTTTATATATGAATAAACCTCATATAGAGTATATTTATATAACATATTTCTTGTGCATCGCACGAGACAAATACTGGTTTATTAAATAGACGTTACCATGAATTAAAATTTTAATATAATAATTAAATTAAATTAAAAAAAAAAACAGTAAAAGAATTAACCAGGTAGTGGCATACTGTCACGTAAAGAAATCCAAATTATAAATTAAAGAAGGTTTTTAAATAATGTACCATTTTGAAATATCCTATAATTATTATGATATTTTTTATTGTATCTATGAGTTTCAAAATTGTCAAGTTGACACCACAAATATTTAATATTTTTTTTATCAATTTCAGTCCCTCTAGTCAAATTGTCGATTAAAAATCGCTAAAAAATCGTAATTGACTTATTAAGGCAGTAATCATAAGGGAAATTTTGTCTTTCCTAAATTATGCAAAATGGGAAATTTATAAAAGGTATTCCAATTTGCTCGACCCTAATCAGAGAAGAAACGGATGAAGAAGGAATTGAAGAGAATAAAGAAAAGAAGGAAGATAAGAAATAAGAGAAGGAAGAGAAGCACTAGGCGCCATTCTCCATCTACTCCACTCGACCTAGATATGGTTAATTCCTATTATTCTTCGTCGAATTCGGGTAATGAGTACTATGAATTTGGAGAAATATTTTCAATTTTTCATTGTAGATGTGGTCACCCAGGAACATTTGAGATCACATTGAAGCAAAGGGTTGAAAAACGAATTCGGAATGGAATACGTCAAAAAAAAAGAAGATGAAAAACGAATGGATTAATGTCACCAAATAGTTAAAAGAGGCTGAAAAACTTACTGTGAGAAAGAGAGAATTTGCACCCTGGTTGATTCTTTGTCCGTTCATCAGGTCTGGTGGGTGGTAGCGGTGGCCACTGGCCGGTGTGCTGTGACGGTGGCCGGTGTGCGAGAGGGAGGAACTCGGCGAGGCTGTTGCCTAAAATCCCAGTGACGCCGATTACAGCCACGTGTTGTAATCGGCGTGAGATAGTCTTAGTAATTTTAATTTTTTTTTTTGAAAAAGTCTTAGTAATTATAATTAAATAGTTAAAGAGAGAATTTTTGGTTAGTAATTTTTATTAAATAATGAAAAATGAGTGTTTTTTAGTCGTGATCGTTTTTGTTTGTTTGTTTTTTTTTTTTATTTAGAAAATGAGGCGGTAATACAAACAACTGTTGGTTCTTCACCATTTAATCCAATTCATCCGAGATTTAATGGTGAGCAAATTTATTTTTCTAATAGTCTACACGTTTATTTTCTTCTGTATAAAATGCAGTCATAAATTTTTCTTCCTGAATATAAATAATCGCAGTAGCTGGTAATGAAGCATTGTTTGGTGGATTTACGGTTTGCTCTCCATCAACACCTATTAATATACTCAACCAAGGTACTACTATTCAAAAATATAATATAACATAATAGGTTAAATTATATGCAAATTTTGATTTATTTGTTCGGTTAAATTGTTGCAGTTAATGTTCGTCAAAGTCCATTCAAAGAGAATAATGTGGAAACTGGAGCAACATCATTAAATACAATCACAAACGGTATATGTTATATTCAAATTATTCTATGTCTCATCTCGACTAAAGCAATATTTTAATCTTATTTTATATATTCAATAATTTTAAATACTTTTACGTATTAATATTATTTTGTCTTTATTTGATGCCATTATTTGTTTTGCAAAAAATTGCAGTTGCTAGCAACCCAAGTTTATATGATTTGAACAGTACAATTGAACCATTCACACCTTCCACTGTCGTCACAAATTGTAAGAATTTTCTTTATTTGTTCATTATTTATTTCTTCATTTGTTGTATATGATAAGTGTGTTGTTATATATGCTTGAATAAAAACAAATTCTATACCATTAATGTGATGTTATATATGTTTGAATAAAACAAATTGCAGTTAATATGTGTACCATGTTTTCACCGTCCAATGAACATTCATTGAATATGCTAAATATGCCAACTTCAGCGTCTCTATCATGCCATCCATTAGCTGATGTTACGAACGGTACTTTATACTTCACTGTTCATGCATTTTGCCTTTTGTTATTCCCAATGTGTATTTACAATTTTTTCAATTACTTAAAATTACTTTTAACAATTAATTGTATTTTATTAAAGTGCAAAGAGAAGCGCACAGTGGGCGTAATCGTGTTTCGCGGTCAATTATAAGAAATTCCAGTAGGTCATCGTCATGAACAAATGAGAGGAATTTAAACATGGATTTCGAACAGGTTGAGACTCAAAATAATAGATATGGTCAGTTTTCTTTGCTCTAAATACAAACGTTTGTTCTGTTCATTTTTTCACAATATAAATAATGTTTGTTAATTATAAGTTGTTTACGTTACCAGATCATTATTTTGACCTTGGAGATGCGGCTCATTCGTGTAATTATTGTGGGGCTTTATTTTGGTGGAAAGAGTGCTCAAATCAAAATGTATCACGCACATTGCCAAAATACACAAAGTGTTGCTATGAGGGCAAAATCCAATTACCTCGCATGAAGGATCCTCCTCGTGTGCTCGAGAGCCTTTACTTTGATGATACTGAACGGAGTAGACACTTCCTCGATAATATTCGAAGGTATAACAACATGTTTTGCTTCACGTCTCTGGGCGGTAAAGTCGATAGGTCCCTCAACACCGGTAATGTTCCTCCAGTGTTTAAGATTAGTGGTCAAAATTATCACTTGATTGGAAGCTTGGTTCCAACAGAAGGGTCGATCCCAAAATTTGCGCAACTATATATTTACGACATAGATAATGAGATTAACAATCGCATCAATTCTGTCAGGTAAATAACAAATACATACTCTCTTATGTTTGCATTCCACCTAGATATTCAACTATTATTTATCTATTCCCATTATTTTTCCTATATAGAGAGGATAGTAACTCAAGGGATATCAATGAAGAGATTGTTGTCGAATTAAAGAATATGCTAGACCAAAATAATGTCTTGGTCAACTGTTTCAGAATGGCAAGAACTGAGATCCAATCTAACCCAGTTGTTGAGGTTAAGATGAATTTAATAGGCAAGCGGAGCAAAGATGGAAGGACCTACAATTTACCTACTGCTCATGAGGTAGCTGCACTTATTGTCGGGGATCTAGACCCATTAATGAGTGATTTAGACATATTGATTGAGACCAGGACTGGGCAATTGAAGAGAATAAATCGATTGAACCTTGCATATCTGCCGTTACAGTACCCTTTGTTGTTCCCCTACGACGAAGATGGTTATCGCGAAGATATTATATTCTCTGATGCATGGCGCGAACATCATCCTGGTGGCAGGATAAGAATTAGCCCCAAAGAGTATTTCTCATTTTATATACATGAGAAAGTGAATGAGAAGCATACATTGTTGTATTCTAGGAGGTTATTCCAACAATTCTTGGTTGATGCATATACAATGATCGAATATGCACGCTTGGTATACATTAGAACTCATCAGAAGTCATTGAGATGTGAAGCTTATCAGGGGTTGAGTGATGCGTTGACAAGAGGAGAATTAGACCCCACAGCTCGAGGTAAAAGAATTATACTCCCATCAACATTCACAGGTGGAGCTAGGTATATGATTCAGAATTATCAAGATGCAATGGCAATATGCAAACACATCGGTTATCCACACATATTCATTACATTCACCAGCAACCCAAAGTGGCCTGAGATTGAGCGTATGTTTCACACCGTGGCCTTAAAGCAGGGGATAGACCTGACATCGTTTGTCGCGTGTTTAAGATGAAGCTTGATGCGATGATTGAAGACATCAAAACAAACAAAGTGTTTGGCGAGATATGTGGAGGTATTTGAAAATCATACATATTTGAATTTGCTATCATCAACTCTAATTTCCCTTTATAAACTTGAATTGTTCATTGTTGGATTCTTTTTGCAGTTATCTACACGATTGAATTTCAAAAAAGAGGACTCCCTCACACGCATATCTTGCTATTTGCTAAAAGAATGAATAGGGCAAATTCTGCGAACGAGATTGATGCCCTGATCTCAGCTGAAATACCAGACCCAGATGCTGATGCTGAATACCATGACGCAGTTAGCGAATTCATGTTGCATGGACCCTGCGGAAAAGTCCGGAAGAATTCGCCGCGCATGGTAAATGGTAAATGTTCAAAGTATTTCCCAAAAAAACATGTTGCTCATACAAATTTGGATAAAGATGGTTACCCGATCTATAGAAGGTGTGACAATGGGCGTACAATCAGAAAGAATGGAATCGAACTTGATAACCGTTACGTCGTCGCGCATAATAAACATCTGCTCCTAAAATATCGCGCACATATTAATGTTGAATGGTGCAACCAGTCCAGGTCTATTAAATATTTATTCAAATATGTGAACAAAGGAAATGATAGGGTGACGGCAGGATTCATGAGTAGTTCAGCAAATACTGTCAATGGTGATGTGGTCGATGAGATTAAGATGTACTACGATTGTCGGTATATATCAGCATGTGAAGCCACGTGGAGACTATTTGGATATTTGATACATTATCGAACCCCACCTGTGGAGAGGTTAAATTTTCACTTAGAGCACCAGCAGAATGTTATATATGCTGAAGATCAGCCCTTGAATGAGATTGTGGAGAACCAAACGGCTAAGCAGAGTCAGTTCAAAGCTTGGTTTGAGGCGAACAAAAAATATGAAGAGGCCCGGTCACTCACTTATGCGGAGTTCCCCAGTAAATTTGTTTGGAAACAAGATCTGCGTGAATGGCATCCAAGGAAAAAAGGCTACTCCATAGGACGATTGTTCTATGTTCCGCCAGGGTGTGGAGAATTATATTATCTTAGATGTCTTTTAAATTTGGTACGTGGACCTTTTAGCCATAAGGATATTCGCACTGTTGCAGGGGTCATTCATAATTCGTTTAGAGATGCGTGTTATGAATATGGATTATTAGATGATGACAAGGAGTACATTGACGGCATTACTGATTCGAGTTACTGGGCATCCGCGTATGCTTTGCGAAGGTTATTTGCTACGCTTCTCACTTCAAATTCACTCAGTAAGCCAGAAGTAGTTTGGAATGCCGTTTGGGAATTTCTTGCCGAGGATGCACAGGTTCAGCGACGTCGTGTCATGCAGAATCCAGGTATATCGAGCTCCAATCTATTTATTCGACTTTGTTATTTGTTTTTCATTATTTATAAATAACTAAGTTGTTCTTTTTTGTTCCTTTTTTTTTTGGTTGAATTTTGTAATATATTAGTTAATATATACTAATATGAATATCTAATGAATTGATACCACAAATTTAAGTCAATATGTACTTAAAAGGGGAAAATGATATTTCAACGAAATTCTTTTTCCAATTCATTAGATATTATTTAATTTCCATATAAAATTTTGTTACCAATTAAGTTTTATTAATTTTTTACCAATTAATTAATATTAATATTAGTATAGATTAGTGTACGGTAAGTAATAATATATTAGAATCACATTTGTATTACAAAATTTATTTACAGTATATATTGACTACAATTCTATATGAAAATTAACTAATATATTAGAATATATTAGAATTTTGTTGGAATTTTCCGTATCATTAATTAACTAATTCTTTTTTCAATTCATTAAAATCCCAACGAAATTCTTTTTCCATATCATTAATTAAATAATTTTTTTTTCAATTCTCTAATTAGTTAATTTTCATATAAAATTTTGTTAACAATTAAGCTTTATTACATTTTTTTACCAATTAATTAATATTCATATTCATATTAGTATAGATTAGTGTGCGGTAACTAATATATATTGTTGGCCTCCAATCTATTTATTCAACTTTGTTATTTGCTCATCATTATTTATAAATAAACGCATTTGTTGATTTTTATTTTGTTTTTTTTTTTTGGACGATGAAGAGTTGATGTTATCGGATTCGGATAAGAAACAGTTCGCTCTGGTGGAGTTGGAGAATTTGTTATCTTCGTGGGGGAAGAGCCTTAGGGACTTTCCAGAAATGCCAATTCCAGACGAAAGTAACATGGGTTTGATAGAAAATATGTTGATAGCCGAAGAGTTGGCGTATGACAAGGAATTGTTGAAAACAAAGCATGAAACGTTGGTAACAAAATTGACGGACGAGCAAAAGAATGTTTATGACTCTGTGATGAATGATATTGATTCTAATGGAGGTGGATTGTTCTTTGTGTATGGTTACGGAGGAACAGGCAAGACATTTTTGTGGAGAACGTTATCCTCAAAGATAAGGAGCCGTGGAGATATTGTTCTCAACGTTGCTTCAGGTGGAATAGCATATTTGCTTTTGCCAGGAGGCAGGACAGCGCATTCCAGATTTGCTATACCACTTTCATTGAATGAAGATTCCACATGCAATATATCGCAAGGCAGTGACCTTGCTGAGCTTATAATAAGGAGCAAATTGATAATATGGGATGAAGCACCGATGACGCACAAACACTGTTTTGAAGCTTTGGACAAAACCATGAGGGATCTATTGAGGTTTGCCATACCGGGTAGTGCTGAAAAGACATTTGGTGGAAAGACAGTAGTTTTGGGCGGTGATTTTAGACAAATTCTTCCAGTTATTCCGAAAGCAACAAGACCAGTAGTTGTCGGAGCAACAATTAATTCTTCATACCTCTGGACAAATTGCAAGGTATTGAGGCTCATGAAGAACTTGAGACTACGGAGCTTAGCTTCATATGAAGATAGACAGATGGTTGATTGGTTTTCAAAATGGATTACAGACATCGGGGATGGGATTACAGGAGTTGAAAACGACGGTTTATCAGAGATCGATATTCCAACACGGTTTCTATTGAAGTGTGGACCCGATCCCATAGCAACTATAGTGGAAAGCACCTTCCCAAGCGCGAGATATGACATACTTGATGAGTCGCACCTAGAAGGCCGAGCGATCCTCTCACCGACTTTAGATGTCGTTGATCAAATTAATCAGTACATGTGTGACATGAACACTGCAGAAGGTCGAACATATTTAAGTTGTGACTATTTGTGTAAGGCAGAATCAGACGGTGAAAATCTATCAGAAGTACACACTCCTGAATTCTTAAATAGTTTGAGATTGTCAGGTGTTCCTAATCATTCATTGACATTAAAGGTCGGTGCACCTGTTATGTTATTGCGGAACATAGACCATTCTCTGGGTCTTTGTAACGGGACACGGCTCATCATCACAAGATTGGCAGATCACATTGTTGAAGCAAGAATAGTTAATGGGACACATCAAGGAACCAAAGTTCTTATCGCTCGAATGTCCCTCACTCCTTCTGATACAAGATTGCCTTTCAAGTTCCAGCGTAAACAATTCCCGTTGATGCTTGCATATGCCATGACTATCAACAAAAGTCAAGGCCAAACACTAACTCATGTTGGGTTATTGCTTAAAAACCCGGTCTTTAATCACGGACAATTGTACGTGGCTTTCTCCCGAGTCACCCATCCTGACGGCCTGAAAGTGTTAGCTTTAGACAATGATGGACATGATTGTGTTGCGACTACCAATGTTGTTTACAGAGAGATTTTCAATAATGTGTAAATACAATCGATGATATTATGTATTATTTTTTTCCCCCAAAATGAAAACATCGAAAAACATAATTGCGTACATCTAGACATTAGCTATTAACCAGGACTATGTGGTCTAATGGTACCCGGGTTGGACTTCCATTTGGAAGATTATGAGTTCAAGCCTCAGTGGAGGCGTTATTGGTTCTTTGTGTTTCAGTAGATTGAGAAAGTATATGAACAGATACTACAATGTAATAGAGCCAGTAGCTTTCAAAAAAAAAAAAAGACATTAGCTATTAATTCGGCAGTTATTTGTTCGAATTCAATCAATGATAACATCAAAAAACATAATTGTTCCAACTCAATCCTTCAATTGTATTATATATAGATTCGATGTTATAATTTATACAATTGTATATCGATTTAAATATATTTAAAATATTATAACAAATTTATTCCGTGCAACGCACGGGTGAAAATACTAGTTAAATTAAAAAAAAAAAAAACAGTAAAAGAATTAACCAGGTAGTGGCATACTGTCACGTAAAGAAATCCAAATTATAAATTAAAGAAGGTTTTTAAATAACGTACCATTTTTAAATATCCTATAATTATTATGATATTTTTAATTGTATCTATGAGTTTCAAAATTGTCAAGTTGACACCACAAATATTTAATATTTTTTTATCAATTTCAGTCCCTCTAGTCAAATTGTCGGTTAAAAATCGCTAAAAAATCGTAATTGACTTATTAAGGCAGTAATCATAAGGGAAATTTTGTCTTTCCTAAATTATGCAAAATGGGAAATTTATAAAAGGTATTCCAATTTGCTCGACCCTAATCAGAGAAGAAACGGATGAAGAAGGAATTGAAGAGAATAAAGAAAAGAAGGAAGATAAGAAATAAGAGAAGGAAGAGAAGCACTAGGCGCCATTCTCCATCTACTCCACTCTACATAGATATGGTTAATTCCTATTATTCTTCGTCGAATTCGGGTAATGAGTACTATGAATTTGGAGAAATATTTTCAATTTTTCATTATAGATGTGGTCACCCAGGAACATTTGAGATAACATTGAAGCAAAGGGTTGACAGTTTTACTTTATACACATAATGGAATGAGAAAATTAATATAAAGGAGGGGCAAAAAGTAAGGTATCCTGAATTAATTGCTGCAATGATGCAATGCACAGATGGTCACTGGTTCGAACGCCATTTTGTAGTGTTGGTCTCTTCTATGTTCATAGACAGCCCACAAAATGGATATGTTGGGGCACAGTTGTTACATTATTTGAACGAAATGTCCAACATTCGTCGTTTGAATTGGTGTTCATCTGTTCTGCGCACGTTGATTGATACGACATTGGATTGGCGGCGAGCAGAAACTGAATATTTTTCCGGTCATCTTTTATTTATTTTTATTGTAAGTTTTAATACATATTTAACTTATGAAAAATGTAATAGATAGCATGTTATGCTACTAACACTTTTCATTTGTATTCAGGTCCATTATGTTGATCGTGTTGTATATAGGTTTGCATTCACATGCAAACACTCTTGGGCTAAATGAGACTATAGGATTAGGGGATTTGGGCGGCTGAGATTGATCTAAGAATCATGTAGTAAATGAAATAATTATTGTTAGGTGTGATCAGCAACACTGGGGTTTCTACCGTGTACATGTCTAAATGCGGGTGTGCACATATCCGTGGACGACAATGCACACATTCAATGTAGTATGCATTTGTGAATCCACAGTATTTGAGGCGGCGTGCACACGTTATGGACGAAAGTGCACACATGCGGGCAACACACAAAATTATAAAAACTAATCACAATTGTAGATACTCCAAATTTAATGATCCAGAAATGTACACATATTTGTATTTTAAGCCCTGTTTTTATAGGAATGTAATTATATATATATATATATATATATATATATATATATATATATATATATATATATATATATATATATATATATAATTAACCTATCTCGGAATAAGGCAGTCAAAGTCGTTGCTTATGACTACTCATAAATGTAAACTAGAGACCCCACGATTTAAATGCCAATCTCCGGCTGAATGTTAGCTACACTGCTCCTCCTTTCTTAATTACTTTTAAACTTAAAATCTCAAATCTGTATTAGCTAGGGTAAAGCTTTCACGTTTCATTTTATTGATTGATTTTTTTATTCTTGTTGCATTTGCGTAAATTTATTTAGTAAAAGATACCGATATGATGCACTTTTTTTTTTTTTTTTTTTTTTCCCAATAAACATAGCGCTTGTGGCTGTTAAAGCTTAGTGATAAAAAGTTTTATTTTCGATATAGAATATCATACTCCGTAATATGCAATTTTCCTTATCTTTATTTGATCATTTATTAGCTGTGCCCAAAGATATATAATACTTACAATTTTTTTTAATTATATAATTTTATTATACTATCATTGGCTCATGAAGCTTTGTACGGCTCATGTTGTTATAAAATTAGTATTTTAAGTTATTATTTTGTGGTATAAATATATGTGTAATTCACTTTTAATTTGGATTCTTCTAAGTGAGATAAAGAAATTGATATATTGTATGTAATAAAATTGATAATGAGTGAATTATAAATTAATTTTCAAAGTGTATTATGAAATTAGAAAAATAAAGTTAGAAAGGCTTGTAAAAAACATTTGTCCCACATTGAAAAAAGGATGTTGGTTTGTACTAGTATATATACAATTCATGTTTTTGAAAAGTTTGAACTATATAGTATAGAGATTCTCTTTTGCAGTGTGGGTAGATGGTTTATAACACTAAAAAACATTATTTTTGTTATTCCAAAAACGAGAATTATTTATATTATTTTGCTTTAAATCTTAGTGCAACCATATCAATAGTTTTTGTCAGATAAAAAAATCAAACATGGTTTTTTGTTGATGTGGGTATTGATTTTTAGGCTAAATTTTTCTCCTGCTATGTTAAGTTTTTTATGGACCCCAAATAAAAGGAAGATGACAGCAGAATACGCAAATTGTGAATGTTGGGTGCACAATCAACGCCCAGCACACGCCCGCTGGTGCGTCTTCTGTTACTTTTTTTTTTTTTTTTTTTAATCCTGTCAAATATGTCAGATTTTTTTTTTCTTTTTTCCTTATTCTCTTTGTTTCCTCTTTCTCCTTATTGGCTCATAAAAAACCGTGAAATTTTACAAATTGATATGGTTGCTTTTACAACGCGGTTATAATGATCACTTGGATTAATATTTTTCTGTACGGTTGTTATTAAAGGGATTATTTCTTAATATTTAAATCTGTATTTATTTATTTATTTTAAAATTTGGACTTATTCACCAACACATTACGCATGTGGCCCAGTCAACCTTTTAGATAACCAAGACTAGCCTTTGTGAACCGTTGTCAAACTTGCAAAAATATGGATCCATTATAAAATGTTACATTAACTACTGAGCATTTATACAATTGTAATTTTGACTCTTTGAGTTTGATTCATTGCATTGGTTTGGACAATAGCTATTTGCATATTTCCCAATGTTGTAGAAGGCACTAAGCGTTAGTCGGGCGCCTAGATAATTTAGTAATTCAAGTATATCATCTCCACTTTTCCCACACAGGGTTAGGAGTTGTTAGACTATTATAGTCGCCCAAACTAGTCAGGCCGGTAGTTAACTGCATATATTAGATAGTTAGTTGAGTACATGACTGGAGAAATAGAAGAGGACAGAGTAGCTGAGTAGGCAAAAAAAATCACTTGGCCGAGTTGAGTGCCAACTCGGCCAAGCTAGGCACCGACGCAGTCGAATTAGGCATCCGAATTGACCAAGTTAGGCGCTCAACTCGGCCGAGTCGGCGCCTAGGGTGCCTAGTCGGCCGATTAGTCAGTCAGCCAACTAAAAGCTGCCTAGGGCTAAAATTGCCTGAGCCTAGGGACGCTTAAGTAGCCACCTAGGTCAATTTTTACAACACTGATATTTTCACATTCTAGCTTATCATTTTCTTTATAATAATATTTTAAGCAATATAAATATATAATATTTCCATATTCTGGGCTGTTAACATTGCGACCTCTGAAGAAATTCAAAAAGTGGACTTATTTTTATTATTATTTTTTCATTTTGGTTTGTTCTTATGTTTCAAGGCTTTCTGCCTGCTTAAGACTATATTCAAAAATAAAAAAGACCTCAATCAAAGTCATATCAGACTAATTATTCTTCAATAAATTAAAGTTGTCGGTGTTGCCGTACCACTCAGCAAAGAAATTAAGAGA